CTGATTAAGCACAGAATATGTTTTCCACACTATATAAAATTCACTAAGAGGCTGTCCATTTCTTCACAAGTTTTCCAAGTTGTCTTTTAAAAAGTGAAAGACAACTCCTAAAGATAACCCTTTTATATTTCTTATAATGCAAAGTCAAATAATCAAGCAACCTGTGGACATCATGCAAAAAGAACAAACAAAACAGACACTAATACTGTAATCTCAGACACAAGGAGGATTTCGTCCTAGGGGGAAAAAGAAGAGAAAAACAGGAGACATATATAAACTCAGAGTTACTATGCAGTTCTGAAACCAAAACAAACTGAAACAGCTGAAAAATACAAAAAAAAAAAAGACAAACAACAATTGCATAGAGCAGGAATGGACAAAATACAATGAATGAAGTCAAGGTCACCTATATTGTACTACGTAAGTCATGTGGCAGTCTGGAATAAACCTAATACTGTAAAAATCCTTCTATAAGCTCAGTGAATTTGGCAAGCCAACTTTGGATTCCACATAAGCCTTTGAAATGGAAGGGCTAGAGTCAGAGTTCACTATGGAGGTGATTGCTTCTATCATATCAAAACAATATTTAAAATACATTTATCAGAAAGTCTGACAAAACTATAAAACATAATGCTAAACAAGAGACAGCAAAAAGTAAGGGGTGGGGAGAAAACATTTAGAATACCGTATTTAAAAAAAAACAGAGTGCTCAAATTTTTCACTCCTTATGTGATTAGAAATATGCTAAGGTGTGGGAAACGGTTAATTAATCCGACATCCTCTGTAACATCCTCTTTACCTCATTTTTCATCTCTCCATGCATTCACAGGATCAACTGTAGAGTTGGAAGAGACTCCTTTTTTCAGTGAGTTGAATCACTTCCAAAGCAGGAAATCCATAGCTAAAGCACACCTGACAGTGGCATTCTAATTTCTGTTTTAAACCTCTAATGAAAGAGAGTCCACTATCCTTGGAGGTAGTCCATTTCACTACTGAACATGTCTGAATGTCCATGCTATCCTGTTACCTGGCTAGATTGAGTATTGGGAGCACTGTATTACAGTGGTTCCAATTTTTCCTGTCAAGACATGCACAAAAGGTGGTGTTAGGAGAGCAGTGTTTGATGCCATGGCCTATGGTATCCCGCAGGCTCCTCTTAGCACCTATATTACTTATATGAAACTGCTGACAGAGGTCATCTGGAACTTTGTAAGGCAACCAATATGCTGATGACACCCTGTGCTACTTCTCCTTGTCCCTCAATACCAAGGAAGCAGTCAGGACCCTTGAACATTACATAGGCTAAGTAACAGGCTGAATGAAGATGAACAGGCTGACAAAATGGAAGTGCTGCTGCTCAATACTGTAGTAAGTCAGATTCAGGAATCAAGATTCAACCTACAGTATTATAGAATGAGATGCACTTTCCCGACAGGACAGCTTGTAGTCTCAGAGTGCTGCTTAACTCTGCACTGTCACTGCCCAGGTGACAGCAGTGATGAAGAATGAATTTGCACAACTCCATTTACACCAGCTATAATATTTCCCAAGCAAACCTGACTTAGCAGGAGTTATTCATAAATTATTTTTATTTAAATTGTGATTTAAACTCATTTGATTTAAATCAATTCTACCCTACCTCAGTTACATCATACCTTGAGTGCTGCAAGTAAACTATACATGGGGCTAGCCTTGCATAGGGTCCAAAATCTTCAAGTAGTGCAACATATGGCATCTCTAGACAGCTTACTGGAACATAGTATCATGCTCATGTGATCATAATACTGAAAGACATGCACTGGTTGCAGTTTGTTTATTGAACTCAATTCCAGTTATTGGAATTGGAATAACCAGAGGACAGAGTAGTACTCCTGTCCTCTGAAGATGCGGGCCACAGAGACTGGCGAAATGTTAGAACAACCTTCAGAACACGGTCAAAAACCCGAAAAACCCACAACAACAATCAATTCCAGTTGTTGGTTTCAGCCTTTAAAGCAGTAAATAGATTGGGGCTTGGCTATCTAAGGCATTGGTCCCCAACCTTGGGCCTCCAGATGTTCTTGGACTACAACTCCCAGAAGCCTTCACCACCACCTCTGCTGGCCAGGATTTCTGGGAGTTGAAGTCCAAGAACATCTGGAAGCCCAAGGTTGGGGACCACTGAGGGACCACCCATCTCACTATGAGCTCATCCACATTTTTAGATCTTCAGGAGAGGCTCTCTTAAAAACAGCAACAGTTTCAGAGCACACTGGGAGGGCCTTCTCCTGCATGGCTCCAAGACTATGGAATACACTCAATTCCACGCTGTAATCTCTTTCTATCCCACTCAGAAAATGCTCACAAAATACCATACAGTCATACCAAGTAACATCATTTGTCCAACTAATGCACTACTGTAATTGAAAGTAGCTTCGGGATTTCAGCAGAAATCTTTCCTATAACCTCCTATCTGGTGAATTTAACTAGTGTACAGTATTCAGAGATCAAGCCAATGACCATCTGCATGATTTTTTTCTATCAGGGAAGCAAGTAAAATAAAACATGTAATCAACAACCATATGGCAATTATGTAGATTGTTCCACTGAATCAGCATTCCATGAAAAAGTAGATCCCTTGCACCTGAGAATAATATTTCCACAAACTTTAGTAGTGTGAGATCACAGAGGGAAGTAGCTACTAGCTTCCATGCCACTTTATACTGTACACAAGAAGGCTTATGTATAAAGCAAACCCTTAAAATGTTAAAATGCTCACAATGAAGAAAATTTAGTGGTTTAAAACATTTCATTAGTCACACACTAAGACAACCAAATTACAGCCAGATTTGGAAGCAAGACAAATCCTTTGATTTGAAGCCAGTAAGAAATGAGGAAAGCAACACATTGATAAAATCCTCTGCTGGGAATGTTAAGATGTTTATATACCTGCTAATTGTCACTGGCAAATAGCACAAATGTGTTTTGTTATATTTAAGTATTAAAACACCAGCATTTTTTCATAATATTTTTAATTAGGAGCCTCATGGCACAGTGGTTAAACTGCAGCAAATGCCTTTGCTCACAACCCGAGTTCAATCCCAGTGGGCTCAGGTAGCTTGTTCAATCTTTCAATGTCAATAAATTGAGTACCCCACTTGCTAAGGGAGGAAATGTGTAGTTTGCATAATTAAATTGTAAACCACCCAGACTGCGTGTTAAGCACTACAGGGCAGTATACAAGCAGCAAACTTTGCTTTGTATTATATGGAGGGAAAAATAAGCAAGCAAAATTATTTTTTCATTGAAGGATTGTACTGAATAGGAGTAGAAAACTACTGTGAGAAGTGACTATCCTGCATTCCTCTAGGAAACATGTAATGGCATTAGAGAATCATTCGCAAATAAAGTCACACTATCCTTCAACAATTGCATCTTCATTTTACTTTCATAAGATGTGTGCTTAGGGGCATTACTAAAAACTGATTTATAAGGCATTAGAAGAAGGAAACAGACAACTCATTAGAAAACAAACTAGCACAAAACAAACTAGTTTAAGCAGAAAAGAGGTTTTTTTAGCCAATTACCTCTATTTGGCAACAGTTCTAACATATTTGTTAAAGATTTTACTGAACTTAATTAAACTTTTAAAATATACAGAATCCTGTAAGAACACAGAAGGAAAAGTTCCCACTAGCTTACACTTCTTCAAGCTGGTACTCTCAGAATACTTTGGACTGCAACTCCCAAGAAGGAAAAGTTCCCACTAGCTTACACTTATTCAAGCTGGTACTCTCAGCAACTCCCCGCCCCAGCCAATGTAGCAAATGGTGAAGGATAAAAGGGAAAATTGCACGATAAAATAAGAGTCTGGCAGTTTAATATAGAGCAGTGTTTGTATAGGACTCCGTGAAAAGAAAAATAGTATCTTTTTAAAATGTTATATTTTAGTTGTAGGCAGTATAGTATCTCATCCTTCAAAACAGTGTCATGATCAACTTGCACAACATCAACAAGAGGATGGGAAATATGGCATAATCTAAAAAAAAATATGCCATGCTATTTCCAGAATGTATAGTTGGCTGGATAGCTCAGTTGTTTAGGTATCTAGCTGAAGAGCCAGAGGGTAGGAGTTTGATTCCCCATTGTGGCTCCAGAAAGAAGAGCCAGCTTGTGGACATACTACGCAGTCTCAGGACATCTCCTCTCCTGAAGAAGAGGGAGATGGCAAACCACTTAAGTATTCTCTACTCAGATAACCTTGGAAAGGGTGACTGTAATTCATAAGTAACTTCACAGCACATATTATTATTTCCAGAAAAGAGATATTAATTTGGCTAAAACACAGTCTTTAAAGACCAGCATATTTCATTATCTTGCCACCTTTCTTTTTTGATCCCTCCCCTATCTTTGCATTTTAGATTTTTTTTTTTTTGCTTTACCAGCCAGAGTAGCTATTTGCTAGATGGGTGGTATAAAACTGAATGAATGAATGAATGACTACTATTGCATAAATTTTGCAGATTATATTTCACTTTATCAGAAGTATGACAATAAAGAGTTCAGTTAGTAAGCATCCTTATCGGCAACACTTTAATTGCAAGTAGCCAGTATTGGAATCCACTACATAGACAGGAACCACTTACTACACCAGTCTTTATCTTAATTTCCTGGTTTCCACTCTTGGGCTCCCAATTTTTGGCCCAAACGCTCTTACCCCCAAGCCCTGCTAGCCTGATCATTTCTCGGACTAATATCCATCAGAATCTGAGCGAACCAAGTTTGGGAAACTATAGCTGAATCCATCAGGACGTTCAAGAGCACCACCACAAAAGATGTCTGAGCAAACGCCATGTTACTGAAGGTGAGGTAGGGAGGGAGATACACCTGTAGAGCACAGGTGGGGTGGCGCCCCGCCCCGCGGGTCTCCACTAGTTGATCCAGCCGCGCCCCGCCCCTCAAACGCCAGCTCCCAAACTCGGCCCTCCCATCACTGCCCGTTCCAGCCACCCTCTCCTCACCTGAAACGCGGTCCCGACACTCCTGACGGGAAGAGACGGCCTCAGACCTGGCGACGTCGCCCCGCGCTGCCTTCACACGGCCGCGACAGAGGCCTCAGCCCCGGCTCAATCCACTGAGGATGCCCGTAAGCGCAGCCCATAAGCTAAGACTCATGAGCAGAAACCACACCACCGCCATCTTCCTCCCGGCGCCACCTTTGCCCTTTAACCTCTTCGCCTTCGGTCACTTCCGGTCCGCTATTACCGGCCTCGTCGTAGTCAGGGCGACCCTCCCTGCCGACCTGGGTTGCCATTTCTTAAAGGTACAGCGCCTTTCCTAATGGGAAGGAAGTGGCTTCAAATGCATTTGCACACGCCGCGCATTATTTGTAATTATCAGTTACAGTTGTCGGGCAGTTACTGAAGCGCTGTAGATTAGCAAACTGGAGTCAGTATCTTTGGAACTCGATTGAGAAATCAAGAATTTTTCGCCCATTATGTTGTTACTATTTATCTTTCTAGGCATTGGTTCGCTGCTTTGGAAGAAAACCTTCAAAATACAAGTGAAAGCAATAAAAAGGGGGGCGCTTTGTGAACCAGGACGGAGGAGACGCTTCACCTCAAAATTTCTGGGCAGGGGAAACCAGCGTCTCAGTCACGAGCCGTTTCTGGCAATAGACAATACAATAAAATAAGGGATTAGGGTTTTCAACACGGTGCTAAATTCATATAGCAAAGGTAGGGAGAAAAAAGAGTGCTGGTACTGTTTTTGTGAATGGGCATTGTGCACTCATTCTGCGCACTCGTCTGCCATTGCATTTCTTCTGATATTTTTAGACTACAATTCCTATGGTCCTTGACTGTTGGCTGTCCTTCCTGGGGTCCGTAGGAATCGTCCAAAATCTTAGGCAGCCCTCATTGTGGGGAGGCTGTTACGTAGGTACAGGATTTACCTACAAATGACACAGAGTATACAGTATCTTCAATTTTCTAATCCTAGCCCTATCTCGAATTTATCTTGCGTGTCTGTCAACTGAGGCTCACACTTGATGTTCCTAGTGAAGTTGGTTTATGCTACAGTTAAAAAAAAGTTCAGTAGGATCCGTTCTTATGGAGAAGTATGTTCCAATGAGTACAATGAGACTTGCTGCTAAATAAAAATAGGCTGGATTGCAGCCTTAAACTGCTGTTAGTGTTTAAGATACCTATCATTACATTGCTTAAAAAGCAAAGAAGGCAACTTTTGGCTCAGCCTTTATATCCACTTCCACTCTTGACTTCATCTTCACCACTGCTCCTGGCTGTGCACACATGGAGAATTGTTCACTATACATAGAACAGGATATGCAAGGATCCCTCATCAAGCATCTGTTAAAATATGTGAATACTGTCCAGGCTGCCGCAGCAGAAAGCCTATGTCCAAGTCAGAACTGGGCACTTTCTGAAATTTCTGGCAAGGCACCCTCTTGGGACAGTCTCCAAGATGATATTATCATATGCATTTTCTTTTTTCAAAAAACGGTTAGCACTTTTTCAGTCCCATCATGTATAATGGTTATATACATATCTGATCAATGGCTTCACATGTTTCGATCTCATTTTACTATTACAATATCTACTTAGTTTAACTGTTGCCCTTATTGTTTCCTTTCAGACCATACAGAGAATATCCATTCTGGGGAGGGCAGCTGATGAAGGGCCTTATTTCTGTAGCAACCAGATTTCATCTTGGCATTGTAACTTCTCTTATTACACATTTGCCATGTCTTTCTTCCCATACAGATCCAGTTTATGAAACTCCTTGCAGTAAATATATCTGCAGTCCCTTGTGGTTCACACCATTTTGGAAGGTGAAATCAGTGAAGCATTTGAATCATGCTTTTTCAACTTGGTTGGGAAATGTATAGTTGTTGCTTGGACTATACATTTTACAGCCCACATCAAGGTGGTGTTGAGATTCTGCTGCACCATTATGACACTATAACACAAAATTGCACAGGTGCTATGCCTCTTGAACCATTTTTTTTCCTGGCAAGGAAGATCATGCAGTTGACCTGGTAGCTGCATGGGGTATTCTGAGTCAGCTATTATGCTGGAGAATTCAGAATGAAATACCACACTAGCATGTGTTGCATTTTAATTTTGATGGTCATGTGGAAAGAGCAATGCTGCCTTTCCTGAATGATGGAGTGGATGATTTATTAGTCATTTCTGCATGCTGTGATTCATTCTACTGTATAAGGAGCCTGCAACCAGAGAAGAGCCTGATGAATGACACTGGATTGAGATACGCTGGGCCTGTCCAGACTGGCCATTTTGGGTGTGGGTTGGATTGGGCTGCAATGGGTCTGTTGACCTGGAGTGTGTGTGATGTGCCATTTGGTGTGCTCCTCCTCTCCAAACAGCATATTACCCCTTGTAGCCCAATCAGCTATCAATTCAGTACTACCCTGATTGTCTGAGGAGGGTCACAGGAAGTGAAATTATTTTTTTACATCACTCCTCATTCCCTCTGTCAGTTTTCTGCCTTCCCGTCCCCAGTGTTTCCCTTCCTCCGTTCTTCCCCCATTTTCTCTCAAACTGTCCACAGTATAGAAATTTCAAAAGACAGAAAGACAATAATCCTGTACTCCACTGCTTTGCTGGGATTCATCAGTAGTTCTTAAAGCAACCAAATCTAGTATGTTTTTTTTCCATTGAGTCCATGTTCCCTTAACATATGTTTTTAAATGTTGAAGAGTTTTAGTGTCCTCTCCTCCTCATGAATACTTGTCATTTATAATCTGAAAGCAAAAACAGCACACTAGGCTCAAATTGCTCCTAACGTCTGTTCTTTTCATTACTGCTGTGCCTGTTCATTGAATATGCTGCAAAAGAAATTGTACTATTTGTTGCTGGATTTTCAAAAGACTGTAGCATAGGGACAATCGTATACCGTCCCTGGCAGATATATGCATGGCTTTTAATGACATCACTAGATTAAATCAATGGAACCATAAAGGTGGCATTTTTCTCCTTTAGATGTAGTGCATTCGTACATAATTTCTAGCACCTGGAATTGTTCGTGCACAGTGGTGTTATTAAACTGTTAATGACCTCCCGCATGAAGACTGGATGTGTGTTTCTGGTTTCAATTTTCCCATCTGAAGGAGCCTCTGCAATAGCCTTTAGAGTTTACACAGCCAAAAGAACATCATCTCTTTATGCCATGTTATTCTGTTCCTGGCAGAAGAAGAGACATGTTTCCAAATTCCTGTATTAGATTCAAGTGCTGGAATGGGAGTATGAAGAGCCATGTGGAAACTTTTTCCATAATGAATTATCATATTTTATATGACAAAGACCAGTTAGGATGATTGCTTCCATAAATATTATATTTTCCAAAAATATAATAAAGCAATATTATTTATTTAGATTATAATATTCTCCATTGTCACAAGATAATTCATTGTCACTGCACAAGAGTGCAGTGCTACATTAAAACCCATTTAAAACATATGATGTTGTGCTGTGAAGTTTCTTCAGACTTATGGTGACCCTATGAAAAAGCAATCTCTAGAATGTCCTGTATTCAAACCCCCGCTTAGCTCTTATAGACTTAAGACTGTGGTTTCCTTTAGGGAAACAGTCCATATCGTATAGTATTTGGTATTCCTCTTTTCCTGCTGCCTTTAACCTTTCTCAGCTTTATTGTCTTTTCCACAGAATTCTGCCTCCTCATGATGTGCCCAAAGCAGGACAGCCTCAGCTTCAACACTTTGCCTCCAGAGATAGTTCAGGCTTTATTTGATCTAGGACCCATTTGTTTGTCTTTCCGGCAGTTCAGATCTGCAAAGCTCTTCTCCAGCACCACATTTCAAGCAAATCATTTTTTCCCTATCAGCTTTAATTACTGACCAGCTTTCACACTCATACATGGTGATTGAAAATACAAGAGTGAGGATGGCCGGTCTCCAGTGACATATCCTTACACTTTATGATCTTTCCTAATCTCTTCATTGCTGCCCTTCCAAGTCTCAATCTTCTTCTTGGCTTCAATCTTCACCTGGAATTGATGATTGAACCAAAGTATGCAAAATATCTATTTAAATTTAAAACATAAGGCAATTTAAACCCATTTAATTACAGTTAAACAAGACAAAGTTTTATACTTAAGAATTGTACAACATATTCAGGCAAAATCCTTAAAGTGAAAATCAGGGCTGAGGCACTCACCCTAGGCAGCCAATTTTTGGTGCTATAGACGGACAGAAAATTATTAGCTATGACTTCGAAGGGAGACATGCCATTTGCTCCTTGGCCTTAGGAACCAACACATATTGGGCCAGCCCTGGTAAAAAGCCACACTTTAGCTTGGCTCCAAAATAAAATCAAACGTGGAACAACCATGCTTCTTAATGAGAGAACATTTCACAACGGGGCCACCATAACAGAGGAGGCCTTCTCCCATACGTGCATTTAACATGCTGCAACAAGGTTGGAAAACAAGCTTGACTTGATGAACAAACAAATATTCTGAAACTTTCCAAACCTAGTTCATATTTTAGGGCTATTCAATGCATCATTGAATACACTGGCTATTCACATAACTTCAGATACCACAAGTAGGTCTGCGTACCTCTTGCTCTTCCTATATTCACAAGCTCAGTTCAAGATAATACATATGTACAGATAGATCCACCCATTAAACCCAGAGTATGGTGACGAGACCTGAAATTTCAATTAGATCTGAGTTTGGAAAGCTCATCCCCATCTCCAAGCCATAGAGCCAGTGTTTGCCTGTAGACAGTTTCCATGGTTACGTGGCCAGACTAGACACGGAATGCCATTACCTTCCCACCCTGGTGGTACCTATTTATCTACTCGCATTTACATGCTTTTGAACTGCTAGGTTGGCAGGAGCTGGGACAAGTGAGAGGAGTTCACTCCGTCGTGTGGATTCGATCTTATGACTGCTGGTCTTCCAACCTTGCAGCACAGAGGCTTCTGCGGTTTAACCCGCAGTGCCACCATGTCCCTTCATTTATGGCTTAGGCATGTATTAATATAATCAGAATACAGTGGAATTAATCTGTATTGGAATGGTGGCTGCAGGTCGAAAAGTCTGTAGGTCGAGTCTCCATTGACCTAAAATGTAGTGAAAACTGATTAATCCCATAACTGGCTGTTTTTGTTCCATTTTTGTTCCATTTTTGTTTTTTTTTCTGGTCTGTAGGTCGATTCTCAGGCTGCAAGTCGAACCTAAATTTTGCGGCCAGAGAAGTCTGTAACTTGAAAAGTCTGTAAAT